AGGACTATATATTTAAACGCGATCTTAAACATAATTCATTGGCAGATGTTAAGGCAACCTGAATCAGCGTAATATTCATAAATTTGCAGGATAAGTTTCGAAGCTTAAAATATAGAACCTCCTCTTCACCTTCAGAAGTGCAAAGGAAGAAAGAGAAGCTTGTGTTCAAACGATAACAATGAGGGGAAGGAAGTCAAACTGCTGGTGCCTATTTTAACTTCTTTGATTATTATCCTTTTAAACTGAGGTGTTTTGAGTTGCTTCTTAAACAAATGTATAGTTTTTCTTTGTAATCAGAGTGCTTCATTTCGAAATGCCTACGAAATTTAACTGGTACCAAAGAGCTGTTAAATACAGTTTTATTAAATACAACACACACTGCATGGGGGGGGGGGATCTTTTATTGTCACTACACATAAAGTCCCGATTAAAATAACTCTCGTCATACTTTCGTTTAAGAGCGTTCTTCTGTGACACTAGCTTTTCAATAGATAAATACCACTCTTTCGTCCCCAGTCACAGATGTATCTGAAGTAGTACAGACTCTTTTTATTACTTCCTTGTACGAAGTAAAAAGGAAGCATTGTAAATCCTGAAAAGTTTCAGGCAGCATATTTCAATGAAAATATCCATTTTGACCGCAATCGAACGCAATTTAACTATGTTTTTACGTGACATCTGTACGTAAGGACGGAATACAGGACTCTTTTCACCTCCCAAAAAATTATAAAACTGATTTAAAATGAATTCTGAAGGGAATTTTTCTTGGCGTCTGTGCGTACGCACGTACGTATCTCACATAACTCAAGAACGAGTAGCCTCAGAACATTGAAATTTTGTATATAGGACTGCTATAACATGTAGATGTGCACCTCGTATTTTGGTTGCAATCAATCGCACCATATATATATATATATATATAGGAAATAAATTATTATTAACTAACTTTGCAGCAATTGCGCAAGTAATAATAACTTGATAACTTGTATTCGCACTAAATGGATTTAAGTTCATACAACATTATATATATATATATATATATATATAATGAGAAGAGAAATTGTAGTTAGCTCGCCAAAACGTTACCAGGAGCTGTGGCTCCAAGAAAAAGTTCAACACAGTTTTTGAAAAAACAACGAAATTGAAGGGTATTATCTCCTAAGCTGAATTATAGTAGAATTATCTTAAAAGAGTGAATCCATACTTAGTAAGTTCTATTTACCAATGGTTGCATTTAAATATCAAAGGACCTTAAGCAACTTGCTCACTAACCACCATGAAATAGATGAAACAGCAGAATGACATTGTAAGACACCAGTTTACAGCAATTACGTAGATTCTCATCACCAGCACATAATTACTGGCAACCTGAATATCATACAAAACCATCAACTAAAAACACTAATGAGTTATGGTACAAAATTTAGACCAGTCAGAAACATAACTAAAAATTACTGTTACAAGACTTTCGAAAACAACATCAACGAATTTAAAGCAAGCTATCAACTGAATTTACCCATAGATACCTTCTTAAAATGGAAAGATAAAATTCTTCAACGCATATCCACCGAAATCAGTCACCTCAAATTTAAAATTACATTGAATTGGTCGCAACTTCCGTCAGATATTAAAAAATTAAAACAACTTTTTACTATTACAAAAATAGATAAAGCAAATAATAACTTTAGCATTATATGAAAACAATTCTACACAGAAATTATTCATAAAGAACTTCTCAACGCAACTACTTATCAATTAGCCAACCTTACAGAACAATCTATAATAAACAGAATTAAAACTTTTCATAAAAAACTCAATATTACTTTAAATACAAACTACAACAGATTTACTAACCTTTATGCAATTCCCAAATTCCATAAAACACCATTAAAATTCAGATTTATTGCTAATGGAACTAATAATTACAAGAAAAATGTAGACTATTATTTTTCAATTCAACTTAATAAAATCTGTAAATTTATTTTCAATGATTGTAACACTAATCATAACTATTGCTGGATCATCCATAATAACACTCCTTTCATTAATGCCATTCAAACAATTAACATCCAAAACATTAACTGCTATGACTTTAAAAACTTATATACCTCACTTCCTCTAGAAGAAATCTATACTAGTCTACTAGATCTGCCTAAACTCTTCCCTGAGATACTCACAATTATGACTCTTAACAAATGGAAAACCTACTTAAAATGCACACTTTTTCATAACTACATCAGATTTCAAAGTCAACTTTTTAAACAAGTCAGAGGTCTGCCAATGGGCTTACATTCCAGCACCTCGATCTGTAATATCTTTTTATTTATCAAAGAATTTAATTTCCAAAAAAAATCTACAACCACAAGAGTTAAATTACTACAAGCACACTTACAGATATATTGATGACCTTATTACAATTAATAGTTTTTAGTAAAATTGAACACTCCTAGATTTATCCAAATTGTTTACACTTAATAAAAACTAATAATTCACAAAATGCATAGACTATCTAGATCTTTCAAATCATTAACTACAAAAAAATTTACTTTTTGACAAAACAAGAAACTTCAATTCAATACTAACAATTAATAAATTGGAATTCCAACATATCCAAAAAGTATTAACATAACAATAATAAAATCAAATACAACGAATTAAGTTATCTGCACAGATACAATAGATTTACAACGCGAAATTTTGCTCCTTATTCAAATTCTCAAAAATAATCTAATACCCATTCAATTTATTAACCATTGCCTTAAAAACGCAGGCGTTAAATACTCACTCTAAATCATTTAACTAATAGGGATATGATAATTTGTTCCTAAACCTGAGAAGGCGGTATAAGTTGGATGACTATCAATTGAAGGATTTGTAGTGTAATTACTCAGTTGTATATATTGTAAAAAGGTAATTGTCTTCAGACTTATGCTGTTACTTAACTTCAGACTTATGCTGTTACTTAACTTCAGACTTACTTATACTTCAGACTTATGCTGTTACTAAAAAAATGGGCCTATTTCCTAATCTTTAGTCTGTCAAATAGCTCTTTGACAATGAAAATCTTTTTTCCTTTCTTAAATTCTTAATCGTTTCGACACGACAATTAGCCAGAAATTAAGTAATTTTATTCACAAGTATTTTCAAAAAAATTTTAACAGACGGTTTAACTCAAATAAGAACTCCACAGAATACATCCCTCAAGAATTCCGAGTTTCACCCACTACCATAAATTACTTCACCCAAGTCTTACCGACTGATATTCTTCAAAGCCGCCGCTGCCGCTAAGAATTTTTCGGAAACACTACGCTTCTGAGTCAGACGCGAAGAGAACACTTTGCCGACTCCCCACTAGAAAGACGTGAGTTAATTAATACTTGTTCTGGCCTTTATATCTTCATGTACATTCACTTTTCTAATTGTATTTTTTATTTTTATATTATTTTTGATTTGTTTTTACAAAGTTTGAATTATTTATCTTATATTTTGTAATCTTCTAATGTTTATTTCAACTTTATACTTTGAATTCTATTTCATAATGACAATTTCCAATGTTTAATTTTTACAAATAATATTGAACTCAAATGCATAAACACGAGGGTGTCGGGGGACTGTTAATCGAGTTTTTTTTTCGAAATTCACTGCAGAAATTGCTTTTCACTCAAAATTGAATCGGCTAAAATGCTTCATAGGAATAAGTTCTTTGAATATCAGCATTGGTTCATAATCCCTTCTCTTCACGGAAATATTTGGCCTGACTTGAATTGCCGGTTTGGCTTAGCCTTAATGCTCGAGTAAAGACGAAACATCTTCGTATTTATTTATTAATTATTGTTCACTGAACGGGAATTGGTTTGTTCCTCTTGAAAAGTCAACTAATTTCCGATCAATGACAGTGATTTACATGCATTTAATTTAATTCTTGCCTTTAATTTATTCCTTTTACAATTGAAATTTTGTTCTTCATGATGATTTAATTCCAGTCCCCGTTAAAACATTATTAACATTTTACTTTCAAGTTACTTCAAAACATCTTTTAAAATATAACTAACTTACTAGAATGGATTCGCTCTTTTAAGATAATTCTACTTTAATTAAACTTAGGAGATAATGTAATCAATTAATCAATATTATTTAGTATATATATATATGATTGAAGAAAGAACAAATTAAAAAAGACCTGTGCGGTCCACAATTTTGGGCACTGAGCTGCAAAATTTGAAAACAAGGTAAATAGAAAATTCTTCTTGCTATTGCTTAAAAGCAAATGTGATACTGTGGTTCCCGTATAAAATTATTTAACACTATGTAAAAATAAATTGTATTAGAAAAAGTTGAAACACAAGAGGTATGAAATACTTAACAAGAAAACTGACAAGTAAAAAGTAAATGTAAAACTCAAATCAAATTTAAAAGTTAAAAAATGATGAAAGTTTAAACAATCCTAAACAGTGAAACCATATTAAAATAAACACAAAAATTATTTAAAACACAAGGTAAATTACAAAGAAGCGGTAAATGGTAAATTAGCCTAATTCGAATCGCATTACGGACTTATCAAGGGAAATGCACAAGGAGCTTCGAATCCAGCTAATTCCATAACGCGTTTCGTCAAAACATGAAGAATTGAGACTAACGAAAAAGCTTTTTGAGTATTAAACAGACAAAAAATACCTAATGTAACTGAAGTCTCAGTTTTTCTGTTTCATTTCCCGATGCATCCGCTGGTTAAAAGTAAATAAGGAACACATTAGTGGTGCAAGAAAAATTATCCAAACTGGCCTGGTAAGGAAAATGTACAAAATAAAATTAATAGCGATGTGCTATTAGTCAACATATACATAATTTTAATTTTAAGGGAGTACCTACTTAGCTTGAAGAGTTAAAATTTTATAAAAGAAGGAATAAAAACGTTTTAAATTTAAACAATAAAGCGCATCAAATTAGGTCTTGCTCTGACCAAAATTAAAACAACGGAAAGAAAAAAATCTTAAACATACCTGTATCTATGACTTCTTCTGTGAAAAGTTATGAGCTAAAAATTGCCCAACTTCCAAGTTACACTTATGCCAAGATTATCAAGCATTCTGCTTGATGTGTTCCGGCTGTCATCAGATGTTTGCTCTTTGGGGGGCTGAAAAGAGAATAAGTTTGAAGTGTGAGTCCAGAAGGGCAGGAGCTAATGGCGAAGGGCTAAAAATTGCTGTTTGCTTCCAGAAAATATAAGAATTCAACTCACCAATTAGGTAGGGCGATGCAAAAAGGCAAATAAACGTCATGAAGCCATGGCCAATGAGACGTAACAGACATTGGATAAAACCTAAGTCAAAAATTGGGGAAGGGGGGTTGCTGATGACAGAACATGGTGGTATTTTGATCAAAATGGCTTCTTGCTCGAAGTAAATTCTAGAAAGTAATTAGAAGGTGAATACAAAATGGCTAACTCTAAGAATTGGTAAAACTGGCCCGAAAGCAGTTGAAATTGAAAAAAATACAGTAATTTATTAATTAAAGTCGTAATTCTTCAAGCTAGAGGGCTTGCAAGGTACTTTAGGGCCAATTTCGCCCCTAAAACCAATAAAAGGAAATTATTTAAGAATACAGTTTGAAGTTCTGAGCCAAACGTTGAGAGTAAACTTGAAGTGGTGAGAGGAATTAACTTTACATTTTTACATTAGATCATCTGAATTAGGCATCCATTAATCACTTTCCATAGGGATTTTAGTACAAATTTCATTATCTAATTTAAATAACCTAAAAAAACAGGTAAATGACAGCTTTTTTTAAGGAATTTCTAATGACTGTTTTTGGAACAAGATTGCTTTGTAAGATTTTAACAGAGTACTTCTTCTTGGAGGTGTTTTGTATTATTACAGATTCTTTTTATTCTAAGAAGTTGTGCATTAATTGCATTGATAACGACTCTTTTAGAAATATTAGAATTCCAGTTAGTTAATTTAAGCGTAGGAAAGTTGAAATCTCTGCGTTTGTCGAAAATTTTTATAAGATTGTAATCTAGAATATGTAAATGAAGGTAAACTACATCATTTTGAACTGTATTAATGGTATTAAGCTCGAGGCAAGTAAGGTAAATATTTGCGTTCTCTATTTTGTTGAAGTTGTTAAAGGCAATAGCATCATCTATATAACGAAAGATGCGTTGGAAATACTTGCGATCTTCCAGTTTTAAGTGAATATCCGCTCTGTTACTTGGCTCAGTGAGCTCAATTTCTTTATTTTTATAAATTGCGCATTTTTTGCTTTAAAATTATTGAATTACGTTGTTCTGGTTAAGATTTTTATGCCTTTAGTTAACCTGCGTGCAATAATAGTGAAATTATCAACAATTTAAAACTTTAATTTTTTATTACTATGGCAGCCATGTTTGTTTACATTTGAAACTTAGCAGAATGGTAGATTTAATGCCAAACTAGAGAAACTAAGCTTCACAACCACAAAGTAACGTTTTCTTTTATCATAGTGAATTAAATTATGCTTAAGTTATTCTGGAATTATCATTTAAGTTATTAGCTTGTTTTTGCGTAGAACTGTAATTTTAATCGTAAACATTGTTTTAACTGTACTAGGTGTTTTATGTTTTTTGATACCTTTCAAATTTTAATGAAAATATTTCTAATTTTTACGTATTTTCGTCTTGCCGGGAAGCGAGAACTGAATTAATTAGTAGCGCATGCGCATTAGGTAAGCGACGCTGAATCGTCTGCGAAAACTGTTTCTTTTTTATTTGTTTAATTTCATTTATACATCGTTTTAGATTTATTATAGTATTTGAATAAAACTTGTGGTAATTCTTCAGATGACATAATTTTTGTCCACTCTGAGTTATAAAATGAATGAGATGTAATGCTGTTCAGTGAAACTAGCGTCAAAGTGTTGCTATGGTAAATAAATATATTGAACTTTAAAGAGTGAATTTATTCTATTGTGGTTTATGCGCTATCAGCGAAGTAGATTTAATTCAAAATTTGTTAACTGTTAATTCAATATGTTTAAATGAAATGCAGGAAAATTGCGTATAATTTAATATTTCGTAGAGGAAGTCATGTGGTGCACACATCAGATTTTTTAAAAATTTCTGTTTTTAACCAAGTATTCATAATTTAGCACTAAAATGGAGAGAAAAAGAAACCTGTGTCAATAAAAGTAGAAGAAGAAATGTGCTATTTTTATTTAAAATAATTTTATGTTAGTATAATTAAGAAGTGTTTGGTTAAAAAAAGAGACAGAAAAAAGTAGAAAAATAAATTAGGTAGAAAATTTAATTTTCGTGGCCAATTTTAATAATAAAGCCTTTGTTGAACACTAAAAATAGATAATGAAATAAATATTAATATGAATTTGTTAATCTTTACTTACATTTATTATAAAATAATATTTTTTAAATATAAATATTCGAATATACGTAAATATTTGCTTCTTATATATATGCATTCATACAATTACATACATTAAAATTTTTGTAGCTAATTTACTTGTAGATGAATGTGTTAGTGATAATTAATGACAAAATTAACAGTCAGTGTTGGGAAGCCTATAACTAAGGTCAATAGTTTAATTACTTTTAATCCTAGATAACCAAAAAGCGATTCAAATTTCAGACATAATTTAAAGGCCTTTTAAGGTAGAAAAGTAATGGCGAAATAACGAGTTTACTTTTTTCGTACATCTCCATCGTAGCAGAAATCTAGAATATTCATTTTTTAAATAAAAAAAATATTACGCTTATTAGTTAGTATTTATAAACCTTTTATATTTACTCGCCAATTTCAAAATAGGATACAATATAAAAAGTCCGAATAAAACTAAGACTTAAAATACTAAAGTCACACTGAAACACTTCTTTACTTCTGAGCACAAAACCGAAATAATAATAATTAAAGCACATTCTATTATAATAAAAACACATTCTATTTCGTTTGCAATGTACGCCATTTAAAAAAAATCTGGTGTGTACACCACGACTTCCTTGTACGGAATATTAAACTATACGCATTTTTTCTTGCATTTCGTTTAAACATATTGGATTTAATTAAATCTACTTCGCCGACAGCGCATAAACCACAATAGAATAAATGCATTCTTTAAAATTCATTCTATTTGTTTACCATAGCGATACTCTGGCACTAGGTTCACTTAACAGTATTATATTTCGTTCATGTTATAACTTATTATAACTTATGACTTACTTTTTTCTGGCCTTTAACTACTAAAGAGTTTTCGCCAGTAGAATATTATAACTATGTCTATGTCTTATCACTTAAGTAAGAGGCAATCGACCATTAACGGCCTTTACCAATATATGATACTTGACTTTTAAATGCTTGAAGAATCGAGTAAGTTGTATCCAATAATATGGAAGTACTTGTACACATGCTGAGCTAGAACTCAGAGATTACTAGCGACGGAGTCTCCTGTGCCGCCGTCGGTAGAATATAAGTAAACTTTGAACAAATGAGGTGCTCGTGTGACGCCATCTATTAGTAGTGAACAAAAGCATTTTAGTTGACTGGAGCTCTGGTTGCGCCATCTCTTGCAGGATGTATTGTAAAGCATCTTTAAAATTTCATAAAAATTATTCTTTTGTTAAGCAATAATTGGCAAGTAAAATGATGAAAAACACAATTTGCAGTCCATTGAAACGTTTCACAAGAGTAAAAACTATTTACACACAAAGTCTACGTGCTTTAGCAGGAGCAAAGTCCATAGCGCTTGGTAATTTGATAAGTAAATCTATAAGTAAAGAAAATGAAGTAAAATCTTGGCTAACTAAGAAGAAAACGAAAATATATACATTACCACCTACTATTATGGTGAATAGTGCGGGGCCTCTTGTGGCGTTGTTCAATTGTGAAATCATAATTTCCTAGTTTTTTTATGATATTCTTAGGATGACTGTCACATTATTTCATAAAAAAGTTATGAGAAGCTTTTAGAATTTCAGAATCCGTGGGTTTAATTTTTAGATCATTGTGAAGAGTGCTGTTTCGTACGAACCAAGGCGCATTTGTAATTATTCTGATGGCCTTGTTTTGAATTCTTTGTATTTTTCGCGATGAGTTCTTGCAGTTGCAGCCCAGGCTGGGGAAGCCATACAGTAAAATCGGGCGAATAGCTTGTAGATAGATAACTCTTTTTGTAGCGAGACTAAGTTTAGAATTTCTCCCCTATTAGTGCATAGATACTGCTTATTGCTTGATTGGCTTTTTTACAGATATTTTCGACAGAATATTATAACTCAGAATGCACAAAATTTATATCATTTAATGAATTATCTAATCGTTGCCACATGTTCTATTCAAATACTGTGATGTAGCCGTTCCTCAATAGACGCTAATGCCGGCTAGCTTTAAAAGGATTTATTAACAGAGCACACAGGAACGGTTACAGACAAAAGAAATATATATAAAAATGAAACATAAACGAAATGGAACATCAAACATTGAGAATAACATAACATAGTAAGCTATCATCATGGCGGCTGGAGGTTCGACTGACGTTTTTTCATATCGCCACGAGATGGCGTTTAAATAAAATAGTTCGGTTACAGTTCATGAGTTCATGGCGTGAATAAAATAGTTCAATTACACTTAAATAGGTCTGTTACATCTCCTCCCCCTCTGACTTCGTAGACGTCTCGGCAAGAAGTCAGGAACTGACCTTTGTCTACTTTGTGCAGCGGGCGGAGAATCAGATGAATGGGCTCCAGTTTGACAAGCAGGAAATTTAGCGTCACCAGCACCTTGTGCAACAGGTGCAGATTCGGGTGGTATTACACGTTTCGGGCGTCCTCTTTTCTTTAAGGGAACCACTGGAGTTACACGAGCTGTGTTTTGAAACTTATTTCGATCTTGATATGGATTCAAGGCTGAAACATGATACTTGCCGAGAATTTTGTCTGGTTCATGAGGATCGGCAATATCATAAGTGGTTGGAGATCTTGTAGTCACTATCACATAAGGACCATCTCTCTTGGGCATGAATTTAGCAGTTTTCTTCAGTGGACCTTTGCTGATTGGATGGAGGGTGACCCAAACTTTATCTCCAGGAACGAATTTCGGGTGTTTCTCTTCGTTTTTGTCAGCATAATCGTTTTTCTGCTTATCTTGATGCATTTCGACTCTTTCTCGTACCTGTTGTACATTTCTTGCAAAACGTTTCAAATATGGAGTAATTTCGGGAACAAAATTATCGTTCTCAATTACGGCTTTTATATCATGCTTTACATCATCTAAGGTTCGTAACTCTCGTGCAAATTGAAGAAAAGAAGCAGAATGTCCAGTTGAATCACATTTGGCTGTATTCAAAGCAAACCTTATTAATGGCAGTTTATCCTTCCATGACTGATGGTCGTTACCAACAAGTATTGCTAAACGTGGTTTCAGATCTCTATTCTTCCTTTCAACTGGGTTAGATTGTGGGTGATAGACAGGAGTAAGACTTTGATCAATGTTCAAGATATAGCATAGTTGTTGCATAACAGCACTAGTAAACTGGGTACCATTATCACTTATTATTTTCCTGGGTAACCCAAATCGAAGGGCGACTTCCTCCAAAAGAATAGTGGCACATTCTCTGGCCGTGGCTTCCTTTAAAGCAAATAGTTCTGTCCACTTCGTAGCACAGTCCTGCACAATAAAAATCCATTTTTCACCAGACGGTGTTTCAGGAAGGGGACCGAAAAGATCAATTGACAAGGTCTCAAAACGTTGAGCATAGACTGGAGTTTGAAGTAAGCCAGATGGCTTTTGATTAGTGGCTTCTCCCCCTACTTTGAAGACAGTGTGATATTTGTTAAGCAATGCATCAGTTGCAAGCCGTTGGGCT